GTGTAATGTTGCATAATTTGTACGTTTTATATTATAACTTTTGTTATTTTCTTGTGTTTACCAATAAAAATTAATTTCACGCTAGATGAAACATGTTCACGTTTCTAAACTTGCAAAACTAATATAAATTTTTTTCATGTGTCTTGCTCGTTGGACTTGGTAAACACAGTTATAATCTTTATGAGAAATCCTTAATACAAAACTAGACGAATTCCTGCGCGTTGCGCGGTACAGGTTAAAAGAATATTGTTAGAATATAGTTTTCAGACACCTTTTAGTTACTTCGATTCATCAATTTAGGTTCTTTTATTATTATTATATTTAATGTTTTCCTTTTAACTATGTTAAAAATATATATTGAATTTTTTTTAAACATTATTTGATATTTTACTTTAGGTTTTAAATTTTACACTAAATTTTGAAGCTTATTTGATATATTAATGTATGTTATTTATTTAACTATATATTGAAGTTAACAAATTAAGTATATTATATTGATAAGTCACAAATTCTTCCATTTATGATAATGTTTACAACTAAAAGCATATTTAAGTTAATAATTAAGTATATTGTATGGAAATATGAAAGTTGGAAGTTCAAATGAATGTGGTGAAAGAAAAATGATTCCTTTATAATATAGTATGATGATTATAATTTTAATTTTGAAGTCATTGTGATATATACAATCATTTGATGATTTTATAAACCGTTTAAAATTGTGTAAATTATATATCAAACGTATGATAATCTATATATAACGGGTAACAAAATGTATGAACTACAACTTTTAGTAATATAAAAATACAAAAACATCTATTATAACATTTGTATTAAAAAAGATATATATACAACGAATAATAAAAAATACGAAAAATAAACACTACAACTTTTAATAACATAAAAACACTAAAACATTTATTATAACATTTATATTAACTTTTCATATTTAAATCACAAATCTCTTCAAATACATTAATTTTTTTAATGAGCAAAACTTTACAACCTTATAAAACAAAGGAAAATAAAAAGTTGTTAGTGATTACTAATTAACAATCATAAGTTAAAAACTCTTGAGTTGTAACTAATAAATATACATAAATTAGAAAACTCTTGAGTTGTAGTGTGAGTTTTAAATGAATACAGAACTTGGAAATGTGTATTTATTATTATTATTATTATTATTATTATTATTATTATTATTATTATTATATTCGTCTACATAATTGGTTTTGATGCATCATTTTAATCCCTTCAATTATTAAACATAAAGATATTTAATTATAAATTTATAACATACATAGGTGCATATATATGTTAAACAAATCACATATAATATATATTTTCGTAAATGTCATATGTAATTCTTGTCGTAGTAATATGGATAAATTACTTTCATATGAAGAACATATCATGATAAGTCATCATAATTACATATCAAATGTTAAAAATTATGCTATCTTTTAAATATTGTCTTGTAAATATATTGTGTAGGATAACCCAACAAAAAACTAATAGAAAATAAACATAATCAAAATAGAAAAACTACAATCAAATAAATAAGAACATTGGGTGGTTGAATATATAAATAAAAATGTTAATAAATGTATGTTTAAATCAAAAGAAAAAACTAACATTCGTCTACTTTGCTCAAACAAAAAAAAAACCTATATCCGTTTTTTGAATCTTCTTTCTTTATTGAACATCATTCAACCATAGAAACTTGATGACAATTCTTCACTAACCTGCAATCAAAATGTTTTTTCTTGAAAAAAAGAATGAGAAAGATATTCCAAGCAAAACATTGATGTTTGGAGAGTGTAACGCCCGTAGATCAGGGCTAGTCAATTTAGAGACAATGAGCGTCAAAAATGACTTTTTGATGGAAGATTATTTAGAAGGAGTAATCTTAACTAAGTTGTAGTATATGTTACAAGGATTCCGTACATATAAACAACGCCGAAATCCGAGTTATAACGAAGAAGTTATGACCTGTCAAAGTTTCGCGACAGAACCCGCACGACACAACGCGACGTAAATAGTGAATTTACGATAGAGCGATATTTGGATTTAGCTATCTAAACAAAAGTCGTAGAATACGTTAAACCGAGAGCGTGCATGAAAAGAACGCCCAAATTTGATTTCGTATGAGGAAGTTATGATTTTTCGAAGTTTCGGCTTAGCAGTGACAGCCTGAAGTTTGAATATGAGATCGAGCGATATTTAGCCAAAACAATCTAAACAAGAATTAAAGATCTCGTCGATTGTAGTCCAACGGTGAAAAGACAGACGAAAACGGACGACAGATGAAGAAGTTACGAGTTTATAACGGAGTTTTCCTGTCTCGGCCTACTAAAAATAATATATAAATAATATAATAAAAATAAATTCAAAATTAGCCGACAAAGTCTAAATTAAAGTTGTAGATCTTGTTTTTACCTATGCGTCGATATAAAGAACGTTGAAAACGGAGTTCGTATGTGAAAGTTATGAATTTCTGAAGTTCGGGGCGCGAAACCCCAAAACTGTTAGAGTTCACGACGTGAATACAGTGTTCACGACGTGAACTCAGTATTTATGACTTCTGGAGCCTGACAGACGCAAGTTGCGATGACGCACCTGATGACTATTGAACTCACGACGTGAATATTTGAGATTCACGACGTGAATCCAGAAAAATGGCCCTATAAATAGAATTCAAGGGGCATCCGAGTTTGGTTGCTCAATCTCTCCTCTCCCACTCCCAATACCCTCTCTAAGCCCTATTTTAACCCCTCTCCCCCCCCCCCCCCCCCCGAAGCCCCGGTATCATCCCGAGACCCGAAGCGAGTCCCGAAGCCCGAAGATCCCAAGAAGAAAAGAGTTTCAGAGCCGAATCTCTGCTTGCGAGAAGCCCGGTGTGTGAAGATCTTCCAGATCTACCGAAGAATACTACTTTTACAAGCCGTAGTGTTGTCCGAGCATCGTCTAATCAAGTGAGTGTGTAGTTACTTTCTTCTACCGCATAGATATGAAGTATTTGCTATGAAATACATGCTAAGTGTTTATACGTTTGTTTGTTTACTTGAGATGGTTGTTGAATGAATGTTTTATACATATTTTTATATGATTTAAACTATATATGTAATTTATATCTATAAATATGTTGGGTAGAACATGGGTAGATGAAATAGTTGGTGTGTGAGGAAAGATTAGTTTGAGGATGAGACGAAAGATGATATAGATCATGAGATGAGGGTGACAGGTGAAAAATGAGTGAAACCTTTACCCAAACGATGGCCCCCGTCATTCAGCAGAGTAGGGATGACAACCACGGACTATTCTAGACAGTCCTATGGAACACTAGTAAGCTCGCAACTTGTAGGTGTTGTGGACTTGATGTTCACCGGTGTACTCTAAAAACCCATTGATATGTATTGCTAGAGGATGTCTCGGAACCAATATTGTCAATAAACGACATAAACCTTGGTGACTATGGAGTTAGCGCCTGTTACATAAATCTTGGTGACTATGGAGTTAGCGCCTGTTACATAAACCTTGATGACTATGGAGTTAGCGCCTGTTAAAGTAAACCTTGGCGACTATGGAGTTAGCGCATGTTGAGTAAACCTTGGCGACTATGGAGTTAGCGCTTGTTGAGTAAACCTTGGCAACTATGGAGTTAGCGCTTGTTACATAAACCTTGGTGACTATGGAGTTAGCGTCTGATAGCTATGGATTTAGTACCTGATAGATAAACTTTGGCAGCAATGGACTTCGTGCCAATTCCTTAGGTAAACTCTTAGGAATGAATGAAGGAAGGATAGTCGATTCTTAGGGTAAAACCTTAAGAAATAAAGAAGATAATGGGGATGGGTAATTGGGTTGATTGTTTGACGATTGAATATAATAAATATATTATTGTGGGTTGAAAACCCTATATGCTCACCAGGCTCCCAAGCCTGACCCACTCAGTTTTCTTTGCATTACAGGTAATGGCACAAGAGTATAAGTTGGTGGACTTGACGAGAGATTTTGGATTATAGATCAGTAGTTATAAATAACTGTTGTAAGGTCTATTTTATACTGTTTATGCTTTTGGTCTGTATCGGAACATGACATCCCGAGATTTTGTTATTTAATGAAAATACATTTCTTTAAAGAAATGCTTTGATAAATTCTTATCACATTTTGTTTTGGGAACAAATTCCGCAACTGTTTTCTGTAAACGATTACTCTGATTTTAAAACAAAGCATAAACAAATCGGTCTAATCTGGCCGTGAAAATGGGGATGTCACAGAGAGTCACATTCAAGATTGAGTAATACATACAAATCACATATAAAGGTCAAATGAGAAATTGAATATAAAGAAAGTATAGAAAAGCTTCATTTGTTTTGGTTGAAAGAAAAAATCATATTACAATTACCATCGATGCGACATAATCCATTTCTTCATATCATCATATTTGGATCGTGAATGCTTCAACTATATGAAAACTTTTGAATCATATTATCTTCAACCAAATGACGACTTTTTGTAAGAAAAATGTACTAATATAACTACTTATATAATGAAGGTGAAAGGGTGTGGGGGTTTGAAATGCATGAGGTGTTGAACTTATAGAGTGTGTGATTTTCTTGGAATGAGATTATGTGTGATTAATTACTTTGAAGGTTAAAGGGTGTGGGGGTTTCAAATGCATGAGGTGTTGGCAAATTTTTATGGGGGTTTCAAATGCATGAGATTGAAGAAAAAATGCTAGCTTTATAAGTATGTATGAGCATTGAATAATGTTATTTTCTTTGGCAGTTGACTTTGTCATCGTTTGTTGAGAACTACACCAGGTTGCTTCTATAGACTTCAAAACGACTTCAATGTACAAATTCTTAAACACCAAGTACTACCATTCCTTTTATGGAGCATATTCTCTGTTTCAGAATAAAAATAAATAAAATTAAACCTCTTATCTGAAAACTCCTTGTATACAACTCTCTGGTCCTGTATATATCATTGAATCATTAATGTCTTCCGTATCTGATAACTCTAACCCTATGACAAACTATGACGGTGTGATCATTGGTGTTAGCGTTACGGCTTTTGTTCTCGGTAAGTTCTTCCATTCTATGATCATGGCGATGTTCTATTAATTAATCCAGATGTTAATTGTTTCTGTCTGCAGCTGTTGTGGTGAAGATATGGATCATTGTATTTATATGCAAGAAACAAGCTGAGATGCAAAGGAAGCAATTCAGTGACGACTCCCGGTTTATTCCTCTCACCATGGTTAAATTCCTGGATGACATGGAAAGAGAAAAGCCCATCTGATTCACTTCTCAACAGTTAAGAATAGCGACAGAAAACTTCAGCATCTTATTGGGTTCAAGTGGGTTCGGGACAGTTTACAAGGGTCTTTTTATCTACGGTGTAGCTGTAGCCGTGAAAATACTAAACGGGACCTCCAACAATAGAATTGAAGACAGTTCATGGCGGAAGTAAGCACAATGGGAAGAACCCATCACTTTAATCTCGTTAGACATTATGGGTTTTGCTTTGAAACAAGTTTAAGAGCTCTTGTATACGAGTTTATGGTCAATTTGGCTCTCTGGATAATCACTTGTTTAAAGTGAACAAAGGACCGGTTATAGGGTTTGAGCAGCTCCACGAGATTGCTCTGGGAACTGCAAGAGGAATCGCTTACTTACATGAAGAATGTCCTTAAAGAATCATTCATTATGATATCAAACCAGGAAACATACTTTTAGATTCGAACTTCAGCGCAAAAGTGGCGGATTTTGGTTTAGCTAAACTCTGCAACAGGGATAACACTCATATAACGATGACCGGAGGACGTGGAACTCCGGGGTACACCACCCCCGAACTCTGGCTACCTCTCCCGGTTTCACACAAATGTGATGTTTATAGTTTCGGTATGCTACTCTTTGAGATCATCGGAAGAAGGAGGAACATGGACGTGCGTCTTGGTGATAGTCAACAGTGGTTTCCAATATATGTATGGGGGAAATATGAAAAGAAAGAGTTGAATGATTTGATGGTTGTTTATGCGATTGCGAAGAAGGATCATGAAGCTGTTGAGAGGATGCTTTAAAGTAGCTCTTTGTTGTGTTTAGTATAGACCGGAGATTAGGCCGACGATGAGGATTGCTGTGAAAATGTTAGAAGGTGTGTTACCGGTGCCAGAGTCTTTAAACCCGTTTTCGCATTTGTTCTCTAGTGTTGATGAAGCTGATCATTCTTTGGCTCGGTTGGCGTGGAATGGTGGTGGTTCTGATTGGTCTTCTTCTGATAAGTCTAGTGTAGTCGCAAAGACACCTCTGATGAGGAGATATGAGATCACAATGGCCTCGGGTGTAAATGTGTAAATGTGTTTATTGTGAGGTCAGATTGTATCATTTTAGGTGAAAATCTTAAATAATAGGAGTATTTAGAAAAAATGTATTTATAGCTATTTCATGGCAAGATTATTAACTTAAGAACGAACGTGGCACTCTTTATATATATATATATATATGGTTAGGTTCATGTGAGACGGCCTAATTTTGTGAGACCGTGAGACACAATCCTAGTCATTCATTTGGTAGATAAAACAAAAAACATTTTTAAAATGCAAAATAATTGAAATTTTTTGAAATTTTTTTTTTCAAATATTTTATATTTTCCAAAAAAAATAAAAAAAAATACATTTTTTTTACATATTCTAGTAGAATAAATAAAATATTCTACATATCTGAGAAATCTAGTATAAAATTCTAACATTCTAAAAATCACATTAGAATATTTCACGTATTTAAAAAAAAACGGTAATTTTATTTTTATTTTTATTTTTATTTTTTAGGTAATTAAAGTTCCAAAATTAATAATTTAAAAAAGAAATTTTGAATTTTTCCTTTTGTTTTGTATTTTAAAATTATTTTTAGATTTGGTCTTACGGTCTCACAAAATTAGCATGGTCTCAAATGAACCTGAATATATATATATATATATATAGATATATATATATATATATATAGATATATATATCTATATATATATATATATATATATAATATATACACTAGGTTATAACCCGTGGACACCACAGATGAAAAAATTAAAAATAATATTATTTGTAGTAATAATCTCTAATAAATAAATATTTTTTTTGTCATTTGTCACACTCTCATTCAATTTGTAAAATGTCATTTTGATGCTTATTTTGGATTAATTTTTTTCCATATGTCATTTTATGAGCTTTTCTATTTTATAAAATTCAACATAATATTTTAATGTAATAATTGTAATAAATATAGTAATAAATAGATAGCAATTTCATTAATGAATTTATTTTTTAATTTCAAAATTCTCAAAATTAAAGCTCATTAATTTCTTTTATTTATTTAAATTATTTTTTAATTTAAAAGATAAAAAATACATTTCATTATAATAATTAATTATTTTTCGTATTTTCTTATAAATTCAAGGGATATATATACAGTAAAGTCCTAATATTTTCATCGATTTGACAAGAAAGTCTAAACTTTATTTTTTTGACAGTAAAGTCCAAATTACCGGTAGTTTTTGACACTTTTACCCTTTTTTCCTGGTTAGCCGGTAATTAGGACTTTTTTGTCAACAAAATAAAGTTTAGGACTTTCTTGTCAAATCGTCAATTAGGACTTTACTGTCAAAAAAAATAAAGTTTAGGACTTTTTTTGTCAAATCGTTGAAAATATTGGGACTTTAGTATATATATAATTTTTTTGGTTAGAAATTTAATGGTATGATACTCTTTAAGCATAAGAGTTATTGAAACGTTCTCTAATCAGCTAAATCCTATTGAAATCTTTTACGTTTGCTTCTTGTTAAATCGTTTTTTTAATCTTAACAAACCGACATTGAAAAAAATTGAGATAATCAAGAAAGAAAGAAAGAGCCAGGGTTGTGTTGGCTTTTTTCAGTCTAAAAAATGGAGATTAAAAAAACGATTTAACAAGAAGCAAACGTAAAAGATATCAATAGGATCTAGCTGATTAGAGAACATTTCAATAACTCTTATGCTTAAAGAGTATCATACTATTAAATTTCTAACCAAAAAAATTATATATACACTAAAGTCCCAATATTTTCAACGATTTGACAAAAAAAGTCCTAAACTTTATTTTTTTGACAGTAAAGTCCTAATTGACGATTTGACAAGAAAGTCCTAAACTTTATTTTGTTGACAAAAAAGTCCTAATTACCGGCTAACCGGGAAAAAAGGGTAAAAGTGTCAAAAACTGCCGGTAATTTAGACTTTACTGTCAAAAAAATAAAGTTTAGGACTTTCTTGTCAAATCGATGAAAATATTAGGACTTTACTGTATATATCCCCTAAATTCAAAGTTCTAAAATATTTGACCTTTATATTTAACTTTTTTTTTAAATTAAATCATGTAATACATGAGTCTCATAACTAGTACTTAATTATTGAAGAATAAGAATAAAATTTTTAATAAGTAATAAATATAAATGTTTTATCAGTCATATCATAATTATATGATGATTCGTTAAAATTACAAAGGAATAGTAGTTTTCATATCCGGTCCGCAATTTACATTTGTAGATATGTTAGGAAAATAACATTTTCGTATAATTGAATCAAAATTTAAATAAAATAAATAAATTGATATAAATAATAAAATTGTACAAAGTTTTTATAAATTTCAAAAAACTTCTCTATACACAACGTTGAATGTTTTATTTGATAGTCTACCATCATTATCTAAAATTAACAATTTTAATCCCTCTCTACTTTAAACTCTGGATAAAGCAACGTACAATTGGCCATGTGTAAAAACAGGATCCTTGAGAAACAAACCAACCTTCGATAAAGACTGTCATTGGCTCTTATTAATCGTCATTGCAAAACATACAGCCAATGGAAATTGTCTTCTTTGAAATTTGAACGGGATCTTGTTTTCAGTAGGAGTTAGAGACATTCTTGGAATAAAAGTCCGGTTTCCAATATTACTTCCAGATATGATAACTGCCTCAATAACACGTTTGCCCAAAGATTTGACTTGTAGTTTAGTGTCATTGCATAAGCCATTTTTCTGATCAATGTTTCTCAATAACATAAGTAGAACACCGACTTTTAAAATGAGATTATGGTTTGGCATACCTGAGACTTTAAGACCATTTAAAACATCAGGTGAGTATAAATTTGTATCAAACTGATCATGAACAAACTCAGACTGGGAGAGGCTATCTGAACTTACATATTCTTTTTGCTCTGTTGTAATCAATTTTAGAAACCGATCATTTATTTCTTGGACAACTTCATTCTTGGGAGCAAGTATTGCTCTTTCTTGAAAATAACCCGCAATGTTGAAGTTTTCAAGAATCTAAAGATATACAAAATTGATTAATGAACCTATAGGATCACATGGATCATTAATGAGAATATCTTCTGGAATATCAACAATTGCTTCACCATCATTCGGACCACCAACATTACCTTCTCTTATGTCCAAAAGCCAGTTTGAAAAACCCCTTATTCGATCAACAGCAGATGAATCGCTTCCAACAGTTAACCTCATTTTTTTTGTTAATTTATGGACTTTGCATTGTTGCCATAAATACGAAGAACTTAAAGAAGCGTTGACAATGTTTTGTCTACTGCCACCCGAAACAACAGGTAGAATTTGTCTGAAATCACCTCCAAAAACAACCACTTTCCCTCCAAATGGAATATTTGAGTTTTTAGGATCGACAAATCGTAATATATCCTTCAAAGTTCGATCTAAAGTTTCAAATGCATGCTTGTGTACCATGGGTGCTTCATCCCAAATGATCAATGAGGCTTTTCTTACTAAACTCGCAAGATCACTCTTTGGATTTATTCTACAAAAAGAATCCTCGGTAAGGTTTATGGGAATTATAAATAGAGAGTGTGTTGTCCTATCTCCAGTCAATAATAATGAAGCGATCCAACTTGAAGCAACGTTTAAAACAATCTCTCCTTGGCATCTAATTGCTGCAGAAATTGTCTTCCAAAGAAATGTCTTACCCGTTCCACCATAACCATAAATAAAGAATACACCTCACTTATTATTTTTAACCTTATCCATTATATCACAAAAAATGTTGTGTTGCTCGTTGGTTAATGAAACAAAGAGCTGATAAAACTCATTCTTAAAATTTGGTATGTCATAATCTAGCTCCTCGGCTATTAAACGATTGTTTGAAGATGAAACCAAATCAACATCTGGGTAAGGCATCCTTCTATAGTTCTTGAGACTGGAATTGTTTCGGAGTAAAATTTGTTCTATCTCAAACAAAGTCAAGTTTTTAATTTGATCTTTGTTTAGTGATAAACATGTACAAACAATACTATATTAGTTACAACATATTAAAAAAGAGATTAAGTGGGATGTAAAATGTAATTGAGTGCATATTGGAAATTTATATGATACAGTTTTAATAATAATGTAATAAACATATACTACCTGGAGACTTTAATCTCTTTGTTGAGTATAAAGAATTCCATCTGACAGGTATTCCCATGTGTTTTCCCAAACAATCTCTGGTTTACACAAACTGCTGGACAATAACATCATAGCAAATAAGAAATGTAGATAAAACCATATCCAGAAAGACTTGCTTCCTTAATTGCTTCGATGTATTCATTGTCATCATCCAAAAGGCCCAGATTATAGCATGCATCTTTAAAAGAAGAACAAATTTCACCATCGACCTTGCGAATTTCTTTGAAGGATCTTGGACCTTTCACTTTATTTAAAAGAATTCTTAAAAAATATGCTTCACCAATCTTAGGTGAAACGGAGTGAATTCTACCAATAGAAAATCCAACTTCCCTTGGTTTCCAAGTTTGAAGTTTAGGTTTCCAAACAAACTTGGTAGGAAATTCAACATATGTAATTTTTCATGCTTCTTTATTGATCTCATTACACTTCATCCAAGATATGAACATTGAAGAAGCAACTGAAGGCCGATCAAGAACATCTTCAATATCATCGTCTGCCTCATAAACTGTTGGGTTTTGAGCATACTAACACTCCTATGGTGTACATGCAACCCTAAATACCTTGGATCTATGTTTTTCTCTATTATACATGCAAATATCAATTTCCAAGGTATTGTTCTAACTAGCATAATATAAAGTACATGTAATATAAAACTAGTAGAATTACATACCTCTTTGTTGGTGCTTGATTCCATGGAGCTCAAGAGCCTAGTGCCCCAAGTGTGACACCTCAAATGGTTCACACAACACCATGAACATTTGGAATAACCATGAGAGAAGATATGAGTCTTATCACTCTATGAAATCGGCTTGCCCTCTATGTTGTACACTAGTGCCGATTTCACCAACAATGGGGTC